ATTAATTCTCATTACTTTTATCCATATTAAAAATGCGTAAAAAATGAAAACTATTAAAACATTTTCTTTTCATTAATATTAAACAAAAATCCAAAAATGCATATTTACACCATTTAGTCATTTATTTAACTGTTGTTATTTAATCATTATCCGCATAACTTTTCTGTTTAATTATTTCATATTTACTTGTTTATTCTGTTTACTTCTAAATCCAAGGGAAAAACGATTAAATTTGTCGACTTCATGTCCTCAAGTCTAATCGCGCGAACATTCGCATTTCATTAAAACTTAGGATAATTTTTCCTCAAATATTCAATCTTTTCAAACTTATACCTTTCAAGCCAAAACTTCGACATTAGGTCGTCGTATCTTCAAAAACCCGTCCGTACCCCTTTTCGGCCAAAACAATTTATTTCTTAATCAAACGGTCAATAAATAGATATTTCAAAAGGTTCCTATAGAGTACTATAGATACATTGGGTGCTAATACCTTCCCATTGTATAACTAACCCCTGAACCATAGATCTCTTTTCGAAAACGCCGTGTATTTTTATTACTTTTAAAAGTATTATTTACATTACATATTTAGGGTTTTATTTCGCTCTTTCCCCTTTTCCCTTGGAAACAATAAAGCGCGGTGGCGACTCTTGCTTTTGTGAGACGAATTAATCAATAATTCGATCTCCGATTTACCCCGCTACATTTTTTATCGCTACACTTCTCCAAATGGAATCTTTAAGCCCATTCTCGACACAATCAACCAACACATCATCGAGTGCAAATTTATGGGCACTCTAGTGTTCAGTCATCTTTCACCTTCAAGTCACGAATGGCGGACCCGCCAATCTAACTCCTCAGGTTTAAGAAGATTGAATACGGTCAACTGTTGTACCCCAAAATATTTCCCTCTCTTTTTCTCAAGTTGCTTCTCACAAAGATCTTTGATGATTCAAGTTTGCACAAGTATGGACTAGGTCAAGCCATCTCCTCAATGTTGATTCCTCAAATTAGGGTTGAGTTCGCATAAGGACAGTTGGACTTATAATGTTTCAAATTACTTTCATGGATCATTGTGCACCCTCAAGATTGTTCGGATCATAAAATCGCTTAGTCAATTGATCAGGTGTTCTAAAATCAACTATATTGGTTAAAAAGTAAATTATGGTCAACTTACAGTCAAACTTCAAGATTTTGGACCAATATTAACATTTTGAGGTCATATGAATTATTTAATTAAGATTGGATCATAATTCTTCAAGAAAATTGGCCAAATCATCAAAAGGGCAAAATGGTCAAAATTAGGGTTTTGACCGAGAATGACCAATCTTTGACTTTTGACCTAGTACATGACTTATTGGTTTGGAATATGATCTCAAGGGTTTAAGTGCATCATTTTGACCTAGTCACATATTTCAATTCACCTCCCGAGATCAGTGGATTGATAGATGTAATTTGGTAAACTGATGAAAAAGTCAATTGTACACTGAAAAGTCAAACTTTGACTTCTTGGTAAAATTTGAGTTTCGAAAAGCATATTTCATCAAGGCATTCAAAATATGAAATTCGATCATCAAAAATCAGACTTTGCAAGACAAGGAAAATTCTTCTAAGTATTTTTCTATACATGATTAATTTCATTACCTCATGACATCTTTCTTCACTATAATTCAAATAATTCAAGATGTTACAAATAATTCAAGATGTTACAAATAATTCAAGTTATTACAAGACTTCATTTTTTAAGTTAGAAAATGTTAAGTTACAAATCCTAAAGCTTTGGCTTGTTGGAACTTTTTTCTTTGACTCAATCTCCAAAACCTTGCCACTATGATGTCAACAAATATGCCTTGTCTTTGTTACAAGATGCATAAATATGTCCACAAAACCAGACTTGTATCATGCTACAAATGTTGCAATCAAGAAAAGCCCAAAAATCTGATATGCTGCCAAGTCCAAGCCTGCTGATACAAGCCCAAAACTATGTCAAAAAATAGTCTGTTGTCCTGTACAAAAATAGCTTTGTACCAAGCTGTCACTCCACTCCAAAACTGCTACAAAATAGTCCTGATGTACTGCCTCTAACCCTGTCCAAACCTGCACTATATCAGTCCTATATTTGCACCAAATTAGCACATAAGAGCTATATCTAAAAAGCAATGAAACAGTATACCCAAACAGTTCAAAAAGAGAGAAGAGAAAAAACAGAAAGGGTTGGCTTTTGGAGAGAAAAAAGAGAAGAGAAAAAAGAGAAGAGAAAAAACAGAATTCTTTGTAAACTCTTCTCATTCACACAAAAAACCTCTGCTCATTTTCAACTCTATTTTCATTCACATAACAGAAAAAACCTTAACCCACTGACCAACCTTTGCAAACTTTCCCCTAAACCAACCAACCAAACACTTCACATCACATAGAGATTGTTCAAACACAAGAGCAGTTTCTGTATTGCCATTATCTTCATCTTCCAAACAAAAGACAGTATTCTACAACTTGATTGGTTGGATTTGGTTCAGCAATTGTCAATACAAAGGAAGGATTTCAGTAGCTTTTTGGAGGTTCACTAAATCCCTCACAGCATCTTGAAAGGTATTCAGACTCAAGACACAAATTACAGTCTCAAGGTAAGTCTTCTTGACTTTAAACCCTTCATTTCAAGCATCATTAGTGATTCATTTTTGAAGATAAAATGTAATAACCATTTCCCTTGAAGGTAACCATTTGTTTGTCTTTCGTTTTTGTCAATTATATGTTGAGAACTGACTTGTACAGACAATAGAATGATGTTAGAACTAAAAAACTGCAGTATGAGTCGACACATATTCACATGAGTGGACTCATTTTAGTGACAGAACAGGGTATGAGTCGACACAAGGCCTTATGTGTCGATACATACTGCTATCCAAACCCAAAATAGAAAGGCAAAAGGTGCATGAGTTGACACAAAACACGAACGTGTCGACACAAGCAAGAAATGAGTCGACACATACCATTATGCATCGACTCATAATAAGTTGATTTTGATTTTACAGGAACAAGAAGGGTTATGTGTCGATGCATAGAAGCATGTGTCGACACATAATGGTTAAAAAAAATATTTTTTTTCCTTTTTTTTTTTACACTGTTTTTATATTTTTCTTCATTGCTATTCAATATGGTTGTAATATTTAGGCTTCTACTTCATCCCCATTTGTAAATTGTACCCCTCATCCCCTTAATGATGTAATAGCATAGGATTTTAATTTCCGCAAATTTATTATTTTTTCATATAATTGTTAGTAATTAGGGTGTGTATGGCAAGATAAAATTAATCGCTAGAAAACCCTAATCTCAAAGACAAAAAAAAATGCATGCAATTAAAAAACAATTCACACAAGCACCCTAGGGTAACCTCGCTTGTTGCCTCAGAAAATAGTCATATTCCTCGAATGTGGGACATTTTAGCAAAGACCCTCGATAAAAAGATCGTAGTCCCTCGATGACCCTTCGGTGTTGCCTTCGGTAAAACGATCTTAGTCCCTATGAAAATTGCTAAAGCGTCTCATAAGTTAACTTCTATGACTATACGATGACCCACGCTCGTTCCTTCACATCCAAAGATAGGGCTTCTTATCAATCAATGGTAAGGTAGCCATATCTAAAGGAGGAGGAAAAAAACAAAGACCTTTTGAGTAGGTAGGACGCTCGTAGTTGCTTGCTCACAAACTAAGACCATCTCCACACTCACACTTTCAAAACATCTTAAAAAACAAATATCTCTTTGAACTATTTTCAAAACCAACACTTTGTATACATTCTTATAGAGACGAGAATCATTACAAAGTTTTCCGAAACAAAACCGTTTTTTCAAAATATTTTCAAACTTGCACAAACACATTTCAAACAAAGCATTTTCAAAGTGATCAAGCAACTAAGAGCCTGTAGATAACTACTGGTGAAAATGGTGCTAACACATTCCCTTCTCATAACCTACCCCCCGAACTCAAGAAAATATCTCAAAAGGTCTTTCCTATTCTTTTCACCCTTTTCTTTATTGGATAAAAGAAAAGTTAGTGGCGACTCTTTCTATCCACAACAATTACGATAAAATGCAAAATACCAAGTCAGTTCTCCCACCGTATTACACACATCTTCTATCCGGACCATTATCGGGCCTTCCTATCACAACACTAAACCCTAGTTTGGTGGCCTCTATACGAATCCATTGCAGCATGTCATCATGAAATTCATATTCTTGTTCATTTTCAAAATGGTTCTGAATGTCTATTGCCTTAACTAAGAGAGGTGAAACAATTTGGGACACAATTGGTTTGGGAGTAGCATCTGAATGCACCATATCTAATGTAAAAAAATATTTAATTAAGAAACTTCAATTGAAAAAAAGTTGTGTTCCAAAAAAAAAAAAGCTGTGTTCGAAATATACTTTAGGTAACGCACAAGCAAAATTAAATAATCATATTGTTGTTTTCATAAGCATATAGGATGCGATAAGTAATTCTCAAATTTTATTTTATTATTTTAATTAAAAGGGGAACCAAGTTTCATGGTCACAACTCATAACTAATATGTGTCCAAAAAAAAAAAACTCAGAACTAATATAATAACAATATTATTTATTCGTGTAAAAAATTAAATATAAAAAGGTTTGATGAATGGGACCACCGAAGAGCAGAAACCGTTGCATGATGTAGAGAGAACGTTGAAGCATCATTCGGAGGTGCCATGCCAGGCGTGCAATGTCTTCCTTCCCCATCATCATGCACATGCATCCTCCTTCAACCCTTCATCATTTCATAACCTTATTTTCAATTCTATAATCGACATTATTCAGAAATATCATACAAACGAACAACAATCATAATATTCATTTGAGAGTTGCGCATTTCTTTCCCTCTTTGGAGTTCAAATCCATTAGGGAAAGAAAGCGCAAATTCAAGCCAATTCGAAAACCTTTCTAATTTTGTTTTCAAATTTCCTCCCTCTGAAAATTTGAAGAGAGAAAAATGAGTGCGGTTTCTGGTGTAATTTCACGCAAAGTTCTGCCAGCTTGTGGATCCCTTTGTTTCTTCTGTCCCTCCTTGAGGGCTAGGTCAAGACAGCCTGTGAAGAGATACAAGAAACTTATTGCAGACATTTTCCCTCGTAATCATCAGGTCTATTGTTTTCATTATTCAGTTTAAAGTGTCGGTGTTATATAGATTCTGATTTGAGTTAGCTTAATGTTATGTTGGACTGTTCAAAGTAGGTTTTGAATACATAGGCAAATATTCTCCAATTTTGTATAGGAAGCATGATATATGTTTGTCCTTTTATTTTTGTGTTTGCGACATTGTGATTTTTTGGTAATGGAAATGCTTGTTTTCATCCTTCCTATTGAATTTGATCTTATTTAGTATTTATGATTGACAGGAGGAAGGGCCAAATGATAGAAAAATAGGAAAATTATGTGATTATGCTGCCAAGAATCCCTTACGCATCCCAAAGGTAAAGCTTTCTTTTGGTTTATTGGTATAATGTTGTGTGAATTGGTGCGAGAGGTTGAGTCGTGTATTTTATCGTGTTTTTGAAATATAATCTGGAATCCTCCTTACATATCCTTCCATTACCTCAACATGATATAGAAATCTCCACCAAAAATCATCTGCTGAAATCCTCATTGAGTTTGTTATACTGAGATATAAAATTTTAGCCATTAAAGACTCTTAGGTTCCAATAAGATAAGTTAAAGAATTATAGGATGAGTTAAAGGAAGATCACAATAATTTACGACATGAAATTGTACTTGAAGCGTTTGATGCCATGGTAGAACTTCAAACTCGAGTTAGAAAACACTTATCTAGTTTGCGTGTTGAAGGAGCTAGTAGAAGGTCCTATTTTTATTCTCATCTATTGTACAATCCATTTGGCATTCTTTCATTAGGTTTGACAGTTTTGGTTTACCTGTGATTGTTAACCTTCGACTATGTTTCTCCTTAATGTCTTTCACTTTTTAATATTTAATATGATCAGAAATTTCTCTGAATCAACAAATATCAAAATTCAGTTACCATTTTGAAATGATGTGTAAGAGTTTTTTCTGGAGAAAATCATGAAAATTTTGTATGTATCTTTCCTTTGGTTAACTGGCTTTATATGCATCTCTGATTTGTAGTAATACTCAATATAACTAAATATCTTGTGATTAGATAACTACTGCCCTTGAGCAAAGGTGCTACAAGGAGCTGCGAAATGAGAATTTCCATTCAACAAAAATAGTCATGTGCATTTACAGGAAATTGCTGTTTTCTTGTAAAGAACAAATGTGAGTTCATATATCCCAATCGTTATTCTTATATACAGATAGCTCTATATTTGTCTGTTGAAGTTCATTTTTGATCTTTCCTTAACCTTGAATTTGAATAATTCATGGAATGTGAGATAATTTTTTTACTTTTATGTTTGTTGATATAGGCCACTACTGGCAAGTAGCTTGGTAATTATTATTCACACTCTGCTGGATCAAACAAGACAGAATGAGATGAGAATTATAGGCTGCCACACTCTTTTTGATTTAATAAACAATCAGGTTCGTTATACTATTGTTTCGGCAATTAGACAACTTTAACTTCTGTGGTTAAAGTTTGTATGTCATCAACTACAACTCCTTTCTATCATTTCTCAACTTGACTGAAGCAATATTTGAAAATTAACATGTTTCAAAATGTATAGATTGATGGAACTTACCAGTTCAACTTGGAGGGGTTTATCCCAAAAATTTGTCAATTAGCTCAAGAACCAGGGGAAGATGAAACGACAAAAACCGTTCGGGCAGCTGGTTTGCAAGTCCTTTCTTCGATGGTATTTATTTTGCAATTCCATAATTGTTTACACTCCAACTTTTCCCTTTGAGAACTGCCTGAAGCATATGCAGTCAGTTCAAATAAGTTTTCGATTATTTTCTTTGTTGTCTATTCTGATTTACGGGTTATGTGTAACACTCCAGACTTTGATCCAAGATATCACTTAAAACATTTGTTCCTTTAGAAAATGCGACTACTATTATAATATGATCTAAATACATATTCTTTACAACTTTGAATTTGTTCTGTAGGTTCACTATATGGGTGAACACTCTCATATATCAGTAGAGTTTGATAATGTAAGTAGTCTTTTACGTCTTCAATAGAGTTTTATTATAACATTGATATCTTATTTTATCATAGTGATTATTTTTCCTCCTTATATTTCATTACAGATTGTTGATGTTGTATTGGAAAATTACAAAGCTCCAAATAGAAATTTAGAAAAACTCAACGATAAAGAGAAAGAAGGTCCGGAAAATATGTGGGTCCGAGAAGTATCGAAAACTGAGGGTCGCGTCTCTCCTCTTATAGATGTTGAAAAGAGAATTCCATCATGGAAGAATATTTTGAACGACAAAGGCGAAATAAATACAACAATGTAAATACTTATTTTGCAGAAAAGCATTGAAATAGCTTCATGCTTTTTTCCTTTGTTTCATTATCTATAAACACATTTCGTCTCCTGAATTTATGCAGAGAGGATGCAAAGGATCCATCCTTTTGGTCCAGGGTTTGCTTACATAATATGGCCAACTTAGCCAAGGAGGGTACTTCCATTCGTCGTATAATGGAATCTTTGTTTAGATACTTTGACAATGGAAGTTTATGGACTATGGACCATGGTCTTGCCTTTCACGTTCTAAAGGATATGCTATTTTCACTTGATGAGTCTGGTATAATATTTTTCATATTAGATTTATAATTATTTACTGGGAATTGTCCATTTAATGCATTGATTACTTCATAAAATCGGTTTTATAAATCATTATTCTCTTCTAATTTGTCTTCCATTTTTTCTCATTCTGGTTGTTGCAGGGAAAAACACGCATGTTTTACTGTCAATATTAGTTAAGCATCTGGATCATAAATTAGTTCTAAAGAAACCCAACATTCAACTGGACATTATTGAAGTGGTTTTTTCACTCACTCAATATACCAAGGTGCAACCTTCTGTAGCAATAATCTGCGCATTAAGTGATTTAATGAGACATTTGCGGAAGAGCATACAATATTCCCTTGATGATTCAAATCTGAGCACCGAAACAATAAGTTGGAACAAAAAATTTGGAGAAGCGATCAACAGGTGCCTTGTACAGTTATCAATTAAGGTATCACATTTTTCACAGCGTTGAATCAAGTTTATATCAAAACTTTCAAAATGATTAAGTCATGAATAAATGTTTTTGATGACCCCAACTTTATTGATTTTATGTTGTCTTTTGAATTTTATAAAGCTTTATGATTTACAATTACGATAAGTTACAAATGCTGTCATTTCTTGTTAAATATATCAAAATAGAAGTCAACTAAGAGGCTGATCATGAACAGGTTGGAGAAGCAGGTCCAATTCTTGATGCTATGGCTGATATGTTGGAGAATATCTCTACTATTACAGTAGTATCTAGAGCCACAGTCACTGCTGTTTATCAAACTTCTCAAATCGTAGCCTCCTTACCAAATTTGTCCTATAAAAGCAAGGCAAGGAGTGGCTATTCATGATGTATCTATTTTCCCAGTTTCTTTGCTAGTTTAAGTATCACGGTTAAATTAACTGCTAAAAGTTTAAAACCATTCTTTTCTTTCTCAGGCATTACCTGAAGCAATATTTCATCAACTACTTCTAAATATGGTTCATCCGGATTCTGAAACACGAGTTGGAGCTCACCGAATCTTCTCTGTTGTTTTAGTACCAACCTCTGTGTTTCCTCGTTCACGGTTGTCTGTATCTGACCCCAAAGGTATACCACGAACACTCTCCAGAGCGGTCTCTGTTTTCTCTTCTTCAGCTGCCTTATTTCAGAAGTTAAGACACCAGAGGCAGTTTCCAAGTGAAAGCATAAGTCAAAATGATAATGAGAGTGTAGCTGAGGAGGAGTTACCAGTTAATGGAAATGGTGGATTCTTGAACAGGTTGAAGTCAACCCATAGTCAGATGTGTTGTGCCAATAGTACCCAGCAACCAACTGCAGCCGATGAAGTTACTACAAGCAATGCTAACAGGGACTTGGTGAGCCTTGCAATGATGATTATATGCTAAGATGTGATTTTGGTTCTATAGTTATTACATTTGTGACATATACACCCTAATCCAAATTTGTTTTGGCTCAATTTCTTTTTCTTTGTTAACATTTCTATTTGAACACAGGAAGCTTCAACTCTCAGGCTGAGCAGCCATCAGATAAATCTCTTGCTATCCTCAATTTGGGCTCAGTCTATCTTTACTGAAAATACTCCCGCAAGTTATGAAGCAATCGCTCATACATACAGCTTACTGCTTCTGTTTTCTAGATCCAAGGTAATAACTCGACACTCATATGATTCAAGTCTTTTGTGATCTTCAGATAATTTCACTTGTTCAAGGGGTCCCATGAGTGACACATTATTTTTCCTTAAAAATTTACTTTTGCTTGTAGAATTCTTTTCACGAGGTCCTAGTCCGGAGTTTTCAACTTGCATTTTCTTTGCGGAATATTTCTTTAAAAGGTTAGCTCCCATCCACACTAATTTGGTTGTGCTTAGAAAAGAATCGTTCCATTAAGGCAGCTCAGTTGGTAGTTGTATAGGAACATCAAATGCAAGAGCGCGAATTTGAATCTGCAATATCCCACTTGCTCGTCTTTAATTAGGTGAACTCCAACCACTAGCCTATTCAACCCAAAAAAAAAAAAAAAAGGAATCTAGAGATACATTATTATTATTATTATTATTATTATATTCTTGGGATTGCCGGTGATAAGTATGTCTTAACCAACATGTGTCACGTATCAGCTTGTTTAATCTTATCTGGTTTTTGAGTTTGATTGCTATACTTGAAAATAGAGGGAATATGCTGAATTATTTCTCTTATCAGATCAAATAAGGAAAATATGATACTAATAGAAGCACCAAAGGCACCAATATAAATCCTAGTTATATAGGGAAAGTATCATATATAAATCACCAAACTCTTAACATTTACTATTCATTGTTGTGATTGAGAAGAACCTATACAGCTCTTTTCCCTATATACAGGATAAATTTTATACCGCTTAAAGTTTGGAGTTTAGGTGTAGTTTAGTTGGTAATTTTAGGAAGTTAGTATCTTCCCTTCGTGATTGGATAATTTTTTGGCGAATTCCATTTAGAAAGAGAAAAATATTTATTTAGATGTGTGCCGCATTTTAAGTTAATGGGATTAAAAGAATAGAACTAATTATGTCATTTTATTTGGATTAGAATGTGTATTTTTCCCCTGGTTTGTTTTATGCAACTTTTTAATTCCTACTTTCCAGTCCTGTTCTGCAACGAGGCCGGGAAGGAGCAGACTGACTGAGGTAATCAAGCCTTTCAACTGTTAATCTTAATTTCGACTTTTTGTTTCACAGGGTCATTGCCACCATCACATCGTAGATCACTATTTACTTTGGCAACTTCAATGATTTTATTTTCTTCAAAAGCATACAATGTTGATTCTCTAGTCCGTAGTGCCAAGGCAGTGCTTACAGAGAGAAAGGTGAGTATTTCCTAAAGATCTTGTGCAACCTCTTCTGTTTTCAAATCCATCATTCAATGTGATCTACGCACTATTATTAAGAACTCACTTGGATTAAAATAATCTTGTCAACATTTATAAGATAATTATGATGTCTCATGCTACCAAATACTACATGTTGGAAATTCCACCTTATTTGAGGTCTTCCCTAGCCATCTTAACTGTGAAAATTTTGGTCCGCATTCGTTGCAGCCTCAAGCACCTTCATTGTGGTTGTTGTAAGAGAGATGCATTTTAAAGTTCTTACAAGTTATTTTGTGGAGTTCAGTTGGGCTTATGCCTAAATTCTAAGATTATGCGAAAAAGGAAGTACTATGATTGTGGAGAAGCTGTGTTGACCTTCTCTTCTCTAATTTTAAGTTCTCTATGTGATTAATGGAAGTAAATAACTATATTACTTCAACTTTTCATATTCTGGCACAGGTTGACCCCTACCTTCATTTGATTGAAGATAACAAGTTACAAGCTGTAAGCTTTTCACCTGACAATATGACCATCATCTATGGATCTAAAGAAGACGACAATAGGGCCTTACGCACAATTTCAGAACTATTGACCTCTGAACCCCAAGATCAAGAAATCTTTGTTTCAGAAATTGTCAAGAGCTTGGAATATATGTCGGAAGTAAGGCTTCTACTTGTGTTATATAAATGACAATATGTTTTGGATAGTGTAAGGATTTTTTTTCTTTTGCATTTCTACGCATCATAAACTTGTTTCCATACGTTCAGCCTGAATTATCCACGTTAAGGGAAGATTTGCTAAAAGAATTCTCACTAGATGATATGTGCCCACTTGGATTCCCATTGAATATGCCAGAAAAGGTGTGTCTAGTAGAAACTGATTATATTTTGATACTTTGTTTACATATGCTTGTGAGTGGTTACTGATGTAATTATTTCTGCATTTTACAGGATGCTTCATTTGTTTCAGCTGACGATGATTATATTCCCGAAGTATTTGATTGTCAAATAAAAGAAAATCCAGGATTGTCCATGGAGTTCCCTAGTCTTTTGAGTGCTAATCAACTCTTAGAACTAGTATGTTACCCATTTCTTACCCTCATAAACTGTTTGTGTTTTAAATTGTGCTTGAAGCTCTTCTCGTATCAATACCAAGGAGATTGACACCGTGTTTTGTGAATGTAGGTATCAGATACATGTAATTCAGCCGGGAGAATTTCTGTATCTATTGCATATGATGTACCTTACAAGGATATGGCTCATAACTGTGAAGTGCTTCTGAGGGGTAAACATAACATGTCCATATTGATGACTACCCAACAGAAGCAAGAAAGTTTTAGGAACTTCTCTTCACAAATTCAAAACAAAGACACCAAAAACACAAATATCTCTTCAGATTCGGATGTGAGTTTTCAGAAGGTAATTCCTTAGTTTAGAGAATTTAGACCCTAAAGTTTTCTATTAGATGACCCTAATGCCTTTAGCTCTATAACAGTATCATCTACATACATACAAAAGTTTAAAATTCAGAATCTAATAAAATAATGTAACGTGCAGATGAGCACTCCTTTCTTTGATGGGAATACTGCTATGGATTTACAAAAACCAAATTCTGATCCTGTTCCATTGTTAAGTGCGACAATTCAGAATCATCCTCACCTGTTCAAGCTACCAGCAGCAAGTCCATATGATAACTTTCTAAAAGCTGCTGGCTGTTGATAACTAGTTTGTACAAATCCTACTAAAATGAGCAATTAATTATAGAAAATTGCTTTATGTGACGAAATGAAAATTATACAAAGTGATTTTGGCTTGATATCTTTTTCTTTGATATTTCATTGATTATATAGTACTTACATTTATAGGGAAGATGATAAATATAAATACACAGAATCCTCCTCACTTGTTCAAACTACCAGCAGCAAGTCTCAAGTCCCTATGATAACTTTCTAAAGCTGCTGGCTGTAGATAATTAGTTTGTACAAATTGATTATATTAAAAAGAGTTATTGCGCAAAGCTCAAGTCATATTTGAGAAATATGATAAATATAATTACACAAGAAATTTTGATTTGCCTCTAAGTTGTCTAACCTATTTAAGGAAATATGATAAATATAATTATGCCGTGATATTATTTTCGGATTGACACCCCTTCCCTACCTTCAAATTGATGTGGCTAGTTAATGATAATAATTTTTTCAACAAAAATATATGGCGGATGTCATACTCTAAATTTGTCTTACCCCTTTATAAAGATCATCTGGCTTATACATCTCGCATATTTCATGTGCATACTTCTCATTAAGACATTTAACATTGCATACATCATTAATCAGTAAACAGTCATGGGATCAAGGTATTTCTTTTCGTAAGCTACACATAAAAAAAGATTGTTCCGTCGGAGAGCAATAAGGTAAAACTCTGGTTTTCGGGGTTTAAATGTGTTCCGCATGTTTCGCAAGATATCAAATTGATAATCAATCAAGCCATCATCATGTCAAGCTCTCATGTGTTTCAGTACGCTCTGAATTGCGGAGAAATCAGGCGTTTCGGTGAATTTGAGACGGTGCGAACCAAATGCAACATTTTTGTTGGTTTGAGCTTAGAAATTCGCAACTTTCAATCGGGATACTGTTTTGAAATGGTTCCTCAGGCATTGGAACCATATCAGTATTTTCTTCATTTTATCTGTTCAGGTCGGAAGCCAATTCTGTGAAGAAAGTCTCCAGAGAATATGATTTCCCTAAAACGTTATTTGAATTTAATGACTTGTTATCTGTTTCTCGGGTATTCGAAAATTCGTAACTTTCATCCGATTCAGTATTTTCGGCTAATTCTTCGAGCATTGAGACCGTCTTGATTTTCTTATCATTTCTCGTGTAGATCGAAAGCTAATTTTATGAAGAAGGTCTCCGAGAATTTTAATTCTTTGAAGACAATGTACCAAATTTAATTACTGGTCCGCTGTTTCGCGGGTACTTAAAAATTCATAACTTCTGATTGAAATATTGTGTCGGAGCGGTTCTTAAGGCGTTAAAACCATCGTAGTATCATCTTCAGTTCGTATGTTCGGCTCAGAAGCTGATTCGGTAAGGAAGATCTCTGAATGTGCGGATACTTTGAAAAGATATAGTGAAAATACGGTGAAAACAGTGTGCTGAACCGCTATTTTTCATACGTTCAAAAATTCATAACTTCCGCCCGGTTTGATGTTTTGGGCGTAAAATTCATCTTGAGATCATCTTCATTTTGTATGTTCGGGTTAAAGGCTGATTCTTTGAGGAAGGTCCCCGAAATTGCAAATTAACAGAGAGTTTATTGTGCTGAACTTGAGTTTTATTCCACTGTTTCTTGATATTGTAAAAATCATAACTTCTTCAATTTTTATCGTATCAAGATGATTCTTACGGCATAATTTTACAAATGATGTTGGCTATAAGTTTTCTTCATACCTCGAGTTCGAATTAAGCTCTGAGGACTTCGGTTTATGACTAGTTTCTCAAACCGATCAGTGAAAATTTTGTATTACTGAAAAAGACAGCTTCAGTGTCAAATATTCTTGCCATTAAAAAATTCATAACTCCTTCAATTTTTATCGTATCGAGTTGATTCTTTCGGCACGACGTTACAAATTTCATCATCTATGATTTTGTTGTTGATCTCGCATCAAAATTTCAAGCTGATTATCATGAGCTTATGGGTTTTCTTTCGATTGCGCCTCTGACACTGAGAACATCTGCATTATTGAGAAAATGTTTGGGCTTCTCTTGGCCCAAATCAGACTCAAATGTGCAACTATATATTGATTTTGCCTCATTATTTTCGCAACACTCAAATCATTTGTAAAGTTTCACACACAAAATAGTATAACAAACTCTCTCAACTCTATCTACTCTCAACAAGAGCAAAGGGAATTCAAAATAATAAAACTCCCTCTAATTCTTCTCTCTCGAAGATATCACACGCAACTTCCTCTCTTTACCCCCTCTGTCCGCCGCCACCACAGGCCCTGCCGGTCACAGTCAAAAGCTCTGTCGGCCGCGACCTTTTCCTTCCGCTGCCACGTCTGCGCGCGAAGCTCTCTTCGTCTACCGGTGATGTTCGTGAAGCCTCCTCCATTCAAGTTCCTTGCTCCACGCATTTTCCGGCCAACATCGCTTCTTTCTCTGATCAAATCTTTGATTCGGTAATTCCTAATTTTCTTGATACTTATCTTGAGTTAAGTGCTTTTGTTAAATTGATTTTAGAATAAAATGCTTAATTGGAAATTCATGAATTGATGTTGAATTAAGTTTTTGGATCTTGAATTCTTGAATTGATAATGATGAATAAATCCGGAATTGATTGAATTGTGCAATAATTCGAGGTCATGAGGATTTAATCCGGTTAATCTTGTTGATGCTAATTTTGCCGTCGAATTGTGATGAGAATTTTGGATTGTTGAATTGTTGTTGAGAATTAACGGTAAATTCATGAGTTGATGCAATTGCGGATTGATTTAAATGACGAATTGATTTTTTGCGACATTGAAAACTCTTGATCCGATTAATTGCATTAACGCATGAATGTTGTTTGTTTGAGCTTGGAATGTTCTATCGTTTACCGCTTTCTTTGCCATGATAAGTAGGACTGGAGATACATGACTGAGAGTCCCTACTTTAGGTAAGCAATTCTATTTTAAAAGACCTGTAGCAGGCAATTCCTATGTGTGCTTGTTTGTTTACCATTCTGTGTGTTTATTTTTGTGCCAAAGACCTCAAAGAAGGCGTTCCATTCTCATTCCCCATTGATAAGTACTCAAATAAGGCAAGTGGAAAAGGGTCCGCAATCGACCCCTACAATTTCTAGTCCACAAGTCATTCATAGCTCGCGTCATATGTCGATGCTATGAATAGTGCTACTCTTGTATCGAGTCAGTCGAGTGGAAGAAGGGTTCATAATCAACCCCTACACTTTGTCATTAGCTTGTGTGTCATGCACCTTGACGCGCTGGTGTTATCTCATTATTGCCTTCTATCTCCTGCCTCGATGATAAAATAACTTGGTTAGGTGTTTAGTCGCATATGATGATTCACTCTCGTTCTTCTCTTGCCTATATAATGCGATATTTTGGTTAAGAGTTGGCACCCCTTATTCTACTTGTCTCAATAACTCGATATCTTGGTTGAGTCTCCCTTTATCCTACCTTGATGACTCGATATCATGGTTAGGCGCCCCTTCCCCCTTGTCCTACATCGATGACACGATATTATGGTTAGGTGTGATCCCTCTCTTTATCCTTCCTTGGTGACATGATACCTCAGTTAGGTGTGTACTGAAGGTGTAAAAAACACAAGAAAGGGGGGTTTTAAATTGGGTTTTAAATAAAAAACTTATCCTTTTAAAATCCCCTTTAATCAGAAACAAGTTACTTCACTTATTGATAATAATGATAAGATGCAAGAAGGAAAGAACAAGTTATGTTTATACTAGTTCACTTGAAAACTATCAAGCTAGTCTAGTCCACCCGCCAAGGTGATTTCGCCTTTCTCAACAAGGTCTTAATCCAATAATCACATAGATTATTATAATGCACAAGATAATTGTAAGTAACTAACTTTACAACCTCAAAGACACACTAATCTTAGACTTCTCAAGGATTCAGACCAACCGGTCCTTTAAGGAAAATCAAACAACTGTTTGAATAAAATTTGTTTACAAAAGACATGCTTCTACACAAGCGAATACATAAACAAATTTTCAATAATATAGACTAAAGAAATACGAAAGCGTATGAAAAGTATTTTTATAATATTTCCACTAGCCAATAAAATATTATAACCGCTGAAGGGTATTTTTGGAATTTTTGGAAAGCTGACAGCTTAAATTACGTGGGAGAGAAGATCGTATGAAACTTCTGTCTTTCATGGTAGTGGAATGAAATAATTTTTTTGTACCATGTACTTTTGTACCATGAAATCTTATCCTCTTTTCTTCTGACGTCAGAGGCTTCTAATCAAGCATATGTTGGAAGAATGAGAATAACACTCGGGTCTTTAGAATTTCAAGTCTTCAAAGTGTTCTAAATTGCGTCTTCAGAATCTTTAGCACTTGATCTTTAGAACCATTTTTCAAACCTTGGATCATCAGAACTTTAAGTCTTCAGAATCTTCAGAACTTCGTCTTCAGAATCTTCAGCACTTGGTCTTGAGATCCTTTTGTCTCCAGAAATGTAAGTCTTCAGCATCTAGACATCAGTCAAAACTCATGTCTTCAGATCTTTAGAACTCCGTCTCTTGGATGAGTATCAAAGTCACTACTTCAGAGCCTTCTGAAGCTTTTTCTACTGTTCATCAGAACTTGTGTAGCTTAGAAGTGGAACTTATTCTCTTTTAATGTCTTGGTAGCACCATTTATCAAAAGCAGAACATGTTTGTTAAATCATAAAAATAACAAATATTAGAGTATCAAAGTTGTTCATACAAACATACTCATTTGTTATCATCAAAACTCAGAGATAAAATTGCAGAATCAAATCTAGTTCTAACAATCTCCTCCTTTTTGATGATGACAAAACTATGTATTTTGATGATATAATTTTGTACATAATCAGAAAAAGTAAAAAAAGAAGGGTAAGAAACACTTATCCTTTATATGAAAACTCCCCCTGACTCTAAGACTTGATAAAGATAGTAAATCTTGATTATGAACCATTTGAATAGAACTCCCCCTGGTTGCAC